ATATTAAAACTAGCTGATATTTTTTTATTTAGTTACACAATGAATCAAGTTGTTGTGGTTAATCTATTTACAATTTCATATTTTATGGTTATTCTGTTAAGTATGTAATATATTAATAAAATACAATCGGTTGAACAAAAATATAAACCAATATTCCTAAAATTAATATAAAAAGCTGACCAATGCAAAATGAGTTAAAATATATTTAATTTTCTTCAATCTCATGTCATAAAATAAGTTGGAACCTAACAAAATTATAAATAGAGTTTCGTAGTATATTTCATGTTATTTTTCACAAACACAAACGAATATCACAAAATAAATTTGCATATTCTATTCGTAATTTGAAGATGGAAGAATAAACTATGCAGTTATAACAACATTAAAATTTTAATTTAATACAATAATTTTCACATATTTTCAACTATTTTAATTAAATAAACCTTATAACTTCACAACATAAGTGAAATATCTGGATTATAATTTCTATTAAAATACTTTTGTTAATCAAAAAGAATCTGCGTTTGAAAACACATGTTAAAATCTAGTTCTTATAGTTATATTACAATGGCAGTATGGTTGACGTGTGTGTTAGTCACTAGACACTGGTGTTGTGGTATATTTTTTGTAATGTATCAATACTATTAAAAGGGAATAAGTTTAAATAAATCTACTTATGAAAGTCATTTTGAACCTTTTCACTAACTAATTATTATTTTTGGTTTTACCTTATATTTCTATAACTATATTATTATTAGTTACCTTATAGTTCTCTAACTATACAATAATCAATGTTCTATCAGTTACCTTAAATTTATTACTCGACATAATACACCAAAGATTGTATATAATTCCATTATACTAATATATCATCCAATTAGAAAGTGTCTCATGAGTCCATAGCGTGACTAATGAATTCCAATACCAAAACTATATTGTTCTTTGGTGTCACCAAGTCCAACTATGCAACAGGTAACTCCATTCTTTATATTGTGCAAGAGTGCCACCAAGTCCAACTATGCAAACATGTTACTTTTTTTTTTATCGAACTCTGTTTCTTAAAATAAAAAAGCTCCTTTAATGTTTATGTTGTTCTTTTTGAAATATTTATCTACAAATATTATATACATTATAGCTTCTCTTTGATTAACACTTAATAATTTCGATATGATTTTAGAGGAGCTTTGCGTACTTTAGTTTAATAATATATCTAAATATAGTCAGCATATTTTATTAAGAATATATTATAAACACGATTTTGAAAATTTATACTATTAAAAGAAATATTTTAAAATCTATTATAAAAAGATCCATATATAAATTTTTCATACCATTAACTACTCTAACTGTATAATTATTTATATATTTTATACAAACCTATTATTAATTTTTTTATCATCCAATGTTATAGTTGTTATACAGTAACATTATACTCCATATCTTATGCTTAATAATGGGTCTATAATATTTAGATATCAATTATTAAAATGAGAGCACATATCATTCAACATATTATATCATGTCCTATTACATTATAATTCAAATATTTACAAAATCAAATTTGATAAAAACACTTCAGAAAATCATGTGTTAAGACAAAATATATATTTTATGCTAAATTAAATTTTATAAAATATATATTATAAAAACTGTAATTCAACGTAAGTTTAAAAACTATGAAAACACCCCTACATATATATAAGATAAAATTAGCTAAAATTTTCTAATTGTAAGTCTCGCCAATTGAACAAACATAACTTTTACAAAACACACACAAAATATAATAAGTGAGAGTAAACATGAGCATTCAGGTCTTTGGATCTGATAAGATTCAATTTTTTAAATCTGAGTTCTTTAAGTCCTAAATATTTGAACTCAACTAAATATCTGAAAGTTTTTGGTCTGAATTCTGGTGGGTTCATTTCAAGTCTGGGTTGGTTCGCGTCCATAATTAAAATTCAGACAAACAAATATATGTAAGTTTTCCGAAAGTAACGGGTCCTGGTCGGTTTATTTCGGACCATAAAAGACTCAAACTATCCGAAAACCCAAGAAAACATCCAAAATTCGAAATGCCAAAAAATCAAAAAAATACCCAAAAATATTCAAATACTATCAAAATATCTAAATTTTACCCAAAATCTGATCTGAGGAACGAAAATACCGACAAAGTTTAATCCAAATACCCAAAATATATTTTAAGCAATTTGAAATTTTACATGAAACCCAAAACTATTACTAAAAACCCGAACCTAGAACTTAAAAGAATATTGTAATATCAAAACATATTCAAAATACTCAAATATACCTAATATACATAACGTTTTGGATATGTAAGTTATCCGGTCGGATCTCAGATAGGATGTGACTTGAACCAAGATTACGTGTTCAAAAAATACCCAGCGTGTTCTTTGCTCCTGATCCAAATGAAACCTATATTTTTTGGTCGGTTTTTGGATCCAGATAAAATGCCCAAACCTAAGAGGGAGTTGCATTAAAATGTACATAAAAAATCAAAGAATCTAATTCATAAATTTTATAATTTAAACAAATTTTCCGCTTTGATATAATACAATTTTGTAACATAATAATGTATAACAATCTCAAAATACTAAATCATAAGAAAGTTTGTTTATAATAAAAAAAATCTGCGCTTTCTAAGCGCGGGTCAAAATCTAATTGCAACGATATAAATAAATGTAATTAATTAATACTGTTAAATATATATGTATACATATATGATGTAATTTGATATATTTTAAATATTAGATTTCTCATGAATGGAATACTTTAAAAAAAAAAAAAAAGTTTCTCAAATATACAATACTGGACGCTATCCTTCTCAAAATGCTCTTTCAATCGATCATATATCATCTATGGAAAGAAAGAAATGCGAGGAGACATCATGTAAGTTGGATGACTGCTGAAGCTATGTGCAAGGTTATAGACAAGGCTATTCGAAACCGTATCTCGTCCCTAAAGTATAAGGCAGGACACAAGCTGGAAGGGTTATTGCGTAGGTGGTTTTATCATACAATGTAGTCTGTTCTTTTCTTTCTCTTCTTGTTTCTTTTCTTTTTATAGTTCTCTCAAGGTCCTCGGGTAGCTTCATAGATTGATTCCATTATTCTTTTGTAAATTTTAACTCTTATAAAGGATGAATAAATTTGAAATTTCATCAAAAAAAAAAATATACAATACTAATTAATAATGTTTATATTTTTTTTGGATCAAATTAATGTTTAGATTGAAAAAAGCTGATGGGTCTCAGTACCGGTGTCTATATAAATACTTGAAAAAATTATATGTCAACTTCAAACTCCATTTTTAAACATTCTTATATAGTTATATTACAATGGCAGTATGGTTGACATGTGTGTAAGTCACTGGTATTGTAGTATGCGTCGTAGTGATCTTGTTTGCTTTCTCCTTAAAAGGCTCGGCTTTGAGTTTTCTGTGAAAAATGATAACAAGGACGGCAAATTCGATGCAATGCCTGATCGAGATGGGCAAAACAATCTTATTTCAGTAATTTTATCGTTTCCTTTTCTATGATATTTATTTTTGTGTGGCAGTAATGGTTATAGACTTAATAGTTCATTATTTATAATTCTCAGTAAGGAGATTAGGTTTTTTTTTTTTTTGACAACGAAAGGCTGATCTATTACTGAAGTTTGAAGTGGTCTGGGAATCCAGACCGGAATAGAACAGCCAACATACATCAGATCACGATAGAAGGATCGAGCTGTCTTAGGTAAGAAATCGGACACAACATTTTGAGATCTAGGAACAAAAGATACTGTATGAAAATTATATAACTAATTATCTATAACTTTTTTGTTTGTTTGTTCACAGCTAATTATCTATAACCAAATAACACTATAACAGTGGTCCCGCAGCCTTTAGGGAGTGACTAGATTTAATGAATAACTTCTAGTTTGTTTCAAAAAAAAAAAAAGAATAACTTCTAGTTATTTTCCCCAAATGTTTCTTCTTTTCTTGAACGGTTGGACAATGGTTTATGTTTGCTTAACTTCTAACATGTTTACGGGGGCGATTTTAAGAGTAGAAAAGTTTAACATGTTTGAATGAGAGATAACCGTATTTACTTTTCTGTAAGTATTTATTGTAATATCTCAAACAATTTAAATATTTAGGTGGACGTTTCCATCAACTTCCTAAATCTTAAAGCCCTTTAACGAAAAAAAAGCATCCTAAATCTTAACAAGCTTTTCCTAGAAACCAACGCATCTCCAGCGTTTGCCAGTAAAACGACCATAAGGTGACCAGGAGAACCTTAATATAGGATTAAAGAAACCACCAAACAAGGGTTAAATCTTCTGGTTATCCGTTGACTTACAACTTCTGCATCCAATATACATCCGCCACGCGTCTATTAGACATGTGTAGAAGAAAGAAATAGACAAGAAAGAGAGAAAGAGTCTTTGAGCTCAAAGAAAGAGGACACATTTTGAGATTTTTTTTCCTTGCGTTGCCTCCCTTCCTTTTCATTTTGATTTGTTTGTAGAGAAAAATCCCTTTGTTTTGTTTTGTTTCCTTAAAGAATTTGGAAACACAAATATCGTTTAAAGGATCATAGCCAGGTATTATCCTTTCTCTTAACGCAAATAATGTTTTGTTTTTTTTGTTCTTAGTTGTTTATATATTTCTCTAACGTTTGCAGGAACTCATAGCTCTTGGAAATCTATATGATTGAGTTTCTTTGTTAATAGGGTTTTTATCTCCTCCCATAACATGTAAGCCACTTAATCGATTTCTTAGGCTTTTTATTCCATAGTAGGATTCAGCCAAAAACAATTCACACGTTCCCTGATCTCGGCACTATCACAATATTATTTCTAACAACATGTTATTAACATGCATAGAGCTGTAAGCAAAAAGAAGCAGAATCTTAAAAAAAAAAACGATTTATGAAAAAGTTTTTGATTGCTTCACGCGCAATTTAGGTATGCATCTGCAAGTTGAAGATTACCTCACCAATGAAGGGGTTCTTAAAAGGGTTGAGATATATTGCTCGTATCTTCGGTGAGTTTATTTATTAATTTATTATGTACGTATGGTTACAAATAAATAAGATTCCAAAATGTTATAAAAAATGGTTGCATGCAGAGGATGAGAAGGAACCAGAGATACAGATTGGAAACCCGACCGATGTCAAACATGTTGCTCATATAGGATGGGAAGGGCCCTCTGCTACGACCCCAAGCTGGGTACATATTACCTCTTACACTATCTATCTTTAGACAATTTGGTTGTAGATGAAATCATATCGTTCATGGGTTTCTACAGATGCATGAGTATAAGTCTACAGATGCAAAAGGAAGTTCCAACAAGAAAGAGAAGCAAAGGAACAAGGGGAGACGTAAATCATCTACAAACACAAACAACTCACCTGCAGAGTCTCCATCAAGAGTGGGAGGGTCAACGAGGCCATCAAAACGCAGCACGGGTAAGCAGAGAGAGCAGGGCACAGGTGCAGGGTTAGACTTAACTCAACAGAAAGATCAGTCTGCGGGACAGAAACAATCGAGGCAGAAAAAGTCAAAAGGAGCAAAGTCAAAAGAAACAGATATATCCGTGCGGGGTGATGGAAGTTCTACAGGAAGATGAGAGGTGAAAAAGAGATATATGTTTCTTGATCAAGTTTAGACTAGAGTGGTTGTTTTGTTTTTCTTCTCATCATCTACATACCTTTTTCTTTTCTGATCTCCTTTCTGTTGGAGATGCATTTGTATAACAAGTCCAATGTTTTTATCAAGTGATTTGCGAGAAAAGAGATATGATGATATATGATTATGAATCTGGATTTTGTAACATATGCTTTTGGTTAATAATTTTGGTTACTCTAAAGAATATTCCATCAAGCTTTCTAGGGACATTTGCTATACGAAGATCTAGATAATTTGGATATCCAACAAGGTGACGTATTCTCCCTCATGATGCCTAATTCCGTATGAAATGGAGCTTTTATGAGATTCAAAGCTTCACAATACAAATAAGCATGACCAAGAGCTTTGCTGCTTTGCCATTATGCCATAGCTACCGCTATCACTCTTTATAATAGTGATGTTGTGTCTTGTACCAACAATTTTTTGTTATGAGGAGATAAATGCTTCTGATGTTGTTAACGTACAAACGGTTTAATATCACCCATTTCTTGTCGCTTCTATGTTGATTGCATTGACAAAGAAGGCTATAAAGAAGTATGTGGTGGGGTACTATTTAAAAGCTTAAAGCATGTTTTTCTTCTTCTTCTGGAGCAGCTCCTTTAAGCAGGAAGTTCACTGAAGGTCTCCTAGAAACGCTTCCTAAAAAAAAAAGAAAAGGCTTCCTAATTTATTTGATGCAAGTCTCTGTGTTTTTATTGTTAGTTCTAATTAGCTGAAAGTGTTATGTATAAAGAGCTCTTTTCTGAATCAACTCTCAAAAGTTTTAGGAAGTATTCTTCTTAGAGACTACTTGCTCCAAATCTGCAAATTAAGCTAGTAGATTGGTGCTCTGTTTTTTTGCTTCCACCATAAAACAGAAGAGAGCTCTTTATACAAGATACATGAGTAATGAAAGGTAAGTTAAATGGTTCATATTCTACTATGTTTTCATGCTTTAAGAGCATAAATAAGTCTTTTTCAGTGATCTATCATTCAAAAACCAAAACCTGAGCTAGAAATACTTCACGTTTATTAGGTCAATGAAACAAAAGAAATTAATTAATAATATCAAATGATCTAAAGTACTTAAGAATTGAAAGAAAATCTTAATAAAAATCCCTAATTTTTTCTCCTTTTCGTAATTAAATCCCACCCTAAATCAACAAAATTTACTTCAAACCACTTTAAAACTCTAGATCTCCTTAGATCATCCAAACTTTTAAAATCCACAATTTAATACAACCTCCTATATGATCTTTTAAGATTACTATCTCTACTAGATCCGTTTCCCGGGCTACGCCCGGGTTGTTGGGGTGTTTAATTTTGTAATAAAAAAAACCTAAGATGCATAACATTTAAATTTAAAATAATATACTCCAATGACTAAATCGTAAATTTTCAATGCAGCGTAATGAGTTAAGGGTTGTGACCTTTTTAAAATTACAATCCAATGATGATGATGATGATGAATATTCTAACCACTCCTCAAGGAGTTCAGAATGGTGCTTTGTGTTAAAAATTTATGTAAATTTTCTTCATGTTTTTGGCTTTACTTTTTTGATGTGAAAGTTACAATACCGGAAGTATAATTTAAAAAAAAAAGATAGATGGAAGGTTTTTTTTTAAAACATTACTATCATTATTTATTGAATTCAGCCAGAGGTAAGTATATCAGGAAAACCAAAAAACAAATAGACACTCATTTCTAATTTTGATATTCGAGGCTCTAAACATTTGTCTCCCTGCATATGGGACAGCTAATGTTTGCACGGAGCCATTCATCAATGCATGAGAAATGAAATTGATGGCCGCACGAAAGGGCGCAAATGTATTTGTCATTGTTGAAATTCTCAAAGCACACAGTGCATGTGTTGTAAAGTTCTTCCATATGTGGAGGTCTAGTAGTTCCCTCAAGGTCGGTTATTATGAGGTCGACGTCAAGTTTTGCAGTTGCTTCTTGGTTGTTGTCCGTGAGTGTCAGAGTAATTTGAATATGAAAGTTTGTGTTGAGAATCCTGCTGGTTAGGATTTCCGTATTCAGAAATCTCATGGATAAGCATTGTGGAGTCTTCAGGCTTTATATGATGGTAATCTAACAAGAAATCAATGTACTCTGTTTCAATTAAATTACCTTCATTGTCGGTGACGATTGGTAGTTGAAAATTAATGGGTGATTGTTGTGTCATGGGTCTGTGGATGTACACTTGAAGCGTTATTCTGGGCGTGACTGCAGGGGGTCTAGTTTCGTGTGAAAAGTCGTATCGCAGGAAGGGTTCATTATTCATTTTTGGGGTTGACAGTGGTGTCTAGATGTTTTATTTTGGTTGTCTGGTAGGTGGGTCTTATAGAGAATTACGGTGACAAAGCTTTAGTTTGTGTTTATTTCTTGTAAAATATCTTTGATGCATACCTTTAATTGGGGAGTTATGGGTTTTGACCAGATGTAATGGCGTGGGGAGTTATGTGTTTTGACCAGATGTAATGGCATTGATTTACAAACGGATGATATTTAGTTATTAAAATGTTTGGGTGGTGTCAATTGTAACTTGTATGTCACATCTGTGCAACATATTTGTTTTGAAATAATGGTGGCCGTTTTTTGGGTTATTGCATCACAACATTATTCAATACCTTGACTAAACTTGAGTCTTCTTGAAGCTTTAGCGATTATATTATTGTTTATGAGATTTCACAATGATTCAACATTAAAAGAAAATTAAATCTCTTTAACCAAATGGAAAAGGGTCCAGAGACATTTCCCTACGTAAGCTAGCAGGACATGAGTTTACACAACTTGAGAAGGTTTACACCTACGCAACAACACCATTCTCAGAAAGTTTACTAAAAAGGTTAGTTCAATGAGTCAATCACCAAAGGTTAATCCAAACCCAATAATACTAAGGATAAACGATAATAACATTAGGACGGTTAATGTTGTGAAATGGAATCTATTAAAAAGGTAAAAGGAAACAAATTATTAAATTGTAACAAAACCAAGGTTTTAAAAACATTCAAAGGAAAATCCATTAAAAAGAAAGACAGAGGAAAATATAAAATTCAAACGAAAACAGCACTAAGTTCCATCAGACATGCTTTGGACGCTTGGCTTCTTCACCCTCAATGGTATCAGCACCCCTTTTCATCGACCCCCTACTGGATCCTCCCTATCGTTTTCAGGTTCCTCTCCAGCTTCATCTTCATTGTCCACTTCTGGTTCTTCCTTCTCAAGATGGAGCACTTTTGTTATAGTCAAACTCTAGGACTTGCCAGTGAGATTATAGGCAGACACCTTCACAACAATTTTCCTAGTTTGTTCTATAGTACTAATCAGAGCCTGAGGCACTGGGAAAATGTGATCCTCTCCTTCAACTTCGTTGGCCTGGCATAGATTTATACATTGTTAGTACATTTTTTTTCTTTGAAATGAAATTAACTTCTAAAATCTTATAAACATGCTAGTTCTTGTGGTACCTGGTAGTAGCTATCAACCAACTCAGCAGCTTTCTTTCCAGTCAACTCCTCACCAGCATCACCGAGAAGTACAAAGACAGCTTGATCCTTGTGGTCATATACAGATAGCTTCGCGTGGTACCTACAACAAAAAATTATTAATAACCTTTGCAATTAAATGGAAATTGTGATCGCAAAAGAAAACCACTTACTGTGGCACACAATCAACTTCATGCTTCCCACACTTCTTACACATGAGAGTTGTTGGCCCTTTGATTGCCTTGGTATGACATTCACGACAGCCTATATAGTACCATCCAGCTCCATGCACAACATCATCAATAGTTGCTGTGCACTGAAACCAAGCAACCTGTTAAAATTTTTTACATTTAATGAGATACTTACATTATCCTCTTGAATGTATCAGATAGTGATGAGTGTAATACGTTTGCGGATTCCTGCTTCATATAAGTGAGTAGATCACCCAAAGTCACTGTCTCAGGCTTCGTCACCACTGTTGCATTAACCCGGTTGGCAACTTCGAAGTTTGATTCCAACCTGAACCAAATATTTAATTAGCCATGACAGATGTGAAAAACATCGAACCATAAACCTTACCAACTGAGATATGAGCGTGTCTCTTGGATATCAACATCTATGAATACCCTTGAAGCAGTAGTAGAAGACATGGATAAAACACCTATCACAAAACGTAAAGCATGTTAAAGAAGTGAAACCATGTCATAATGAATTATTTATATAACCAGACTTTTCAAATAAGCAGTATAGGGTTTTGAAAATGCACGTTTGAACCAGTATCATACAATAGTTATGGATCAGAGTATTTAAATACATAGTCTGGTCTAGTTCCAATGCAATCTATAATCTACAAAATCCAAATAAAAGTCCTGACACTAACCTCCAAACAGTTTCGGATTCAAGGTAGTGACCAAGATAACACTTGCAGTGGCTCCAGATGCTTTGAACTTCTTACAGAACGCAAAGGCGGCTTTATCCCAGAGACACACCTTCAACACCAGTTCACTGTTGAGAATCATAGTTGAGATATCAAAATTCAGAAGAAAAGGTGCATACAACTATGCATAAAAGTTAATACGGCGAAACTGAAGGTTCATTATGAGATAAGGGTGCAGATAAACTTACTCATGTGTTTGCACGTGAAGATCAATACGTCGAGATGCAGCTAGGCCTGCTTCTTCAATGATAAGTTTGTCATTGGGGACCTCCCTATTCACAAGTTTGATGTGGCCTATGTAATCTGCATTTAGAAGACAATAAAAGACAATGCTTAAAATCTCATAAACTCAGTCAAACGGTCTAAAAATTTGAATCTGTACAAAAATAATTTCATACATTTACAATTCATATTAGACCAATGCAGTTCAATATCATAAGGTGGATCAAGACAATATCATAGGTTTGAAGTTTAGAGTACACAGTGATTTTATACAACCTGTTCGGATTATTTTAAGGGTCAAAACTTACCATAAAGATCACCTCGCTTATCTACGGCAGCCTCAAATTCTTTCTGGCTATGGAACCGGAACCTATCCTCAGGAAAACAGACACTACTGTCTTTGAATTCAGACATGACGGAATTCCATGACAAACTAATGGTCACGGTTGGGCCAGCCACACGGTATATGGTTTTGCTTTGTGATCCAAAAAACCTGTTGAGTCGGTAAGTTGCACCAGGTTTCAAGAGAGGCAAATAAGTGGCACTCCTTCTTGGGGGATGAAACCCTGGATCACATTTTCCTGTAGTTGAAAACATTGTCAGCAAAATCTAAGTTATGCGGGGAAATGATGTCTAACAACAGCCAGATGAAATCGATAACTTACAATTACATAACCTAGAACGACCAAATGACAAAACGAAATAAAGATACAGTTAACAAATTAAACCTACAACAACAAATTACAGAACAAAAACTTTAACAGATAAACCATAATTTAGATGTATAACGACTGATGAACAACATCAAGTTGCAAAATAAAATCAGACTACAGATGGTAAACCCATAATTAATCTTAATAGCTAAGTATATAAAACGTTTTTAATCTTAGTAGCTAAGTATATAAAACTATTTAAATCTTAATAGCTAATTGTATAAAACTATTTAAAAAAACTAATCATAGTTCTCGGTTATGTAACATAGTAAAAGTAAACAATCACCTAACATAGTTATTGAGCAAGGAAAGATAAATTAGATTTGTACAAAACATGAATCAACACTCGCCATAATTTTACTAATAAGATTTTACTTAACAATTTCATAATAATTATTAGAAGATCCAAATGATAACTAACATAAGTAATTTTAGGAAAAAAATATGTAACAAATAAAAATTTATAAAACAAACATAGTTCATTCAACAATAACAAATCACAGAAAATAATCAAACTTCCGTTTGGTTACAGTACAAATTGTTTTTGAAAGGTAGAATATAGATTCATTACCTCTTCATCGAGGAGGAGCATCTCGACGCCGATGAGGGATTTTGACACGGGATTCCAGGCCTCCCAAAAGTAAATCAACCGAAACCGGACCTCCCCTTCATTAGGCCCTAAAGTCACGTCCTTGAAGGTTAGTCTCTTCCCAGCGTCGTCGGTGACAATCGCTTTCCCCTTTGCGGCGGCAGAGGCGGCTACTTTGCGCCCTCCGTTGAGGTTAAGAGCGGAAGAAGAACCGTTTTTTGGGATTGGTTTGATCTCCCTCGAATTACTCGCCGGTAGGTCTTCTGGCTTCGTTGAGATCGGATGGCCGGAAGAGACACCGTTTTTGACCGGAACAGGTGGAACCGCCGCGTCGTTGCCGGATGATTGGGCTTCAATGGTTGACTTCATGGTTATGTCTGATGGCGAGGAAAATAGAGAGAGCTAAGCTTTCGATGGTAGAATCATGGAGTTGAAGTTTCTTATAAAGAAGTTTAGATGGTGGAATTGAAGAGAGACAATGAATGAGAATAAAGAGAGTAGAGTAGTGGGAGAGTTTTGATTGTAATCGAAGTGAGATCGGTGAAACAAAGAATTCGAAGAGATAAACGAAGTCAAAGAGATCGAAGAAACCGAAGAGAAAGAGACTCGATTCGGATTTGGGAATTTAGGGTTTGTGCGACGCCGCTAGGGAGAAGAAAAATAAGGGTTAGAAATAAAGTTAAGGTATATGGGCTTCGCGAGATGAGCCCAAACGAAATTTCGCAGCCCAATCCAAGAAACTCTGACTAAGGTTTTGAAGCCCACACGAAATCAAGCCCACTCTACATGTGCACATGCTGACCTGGCCGAAAATTTACTCCCTATTGGAGGAATAAAATAAATGACGTGGCATAGCTGAGGGGAGAGTATTTGCCCCTTTTAGTATAGTAGAGATGTTGCCCCTGCCACAAAATTTATTACTTTATCTACCATTTAAATATAAATACAAATTATTCTTCAGAAAAATGAGAAACTTTAAAAATCGTTAAAACGAAACAAATCGGTCGTTTACAGAAAACTAAACATAAAATTGTTTGCTTTCAAATAAAAGGAAAAACATGTTTTTTTTTTTAAAAAAGGAAATATTTGTAAATGGAAAACCACTATTGTTCACTAAAAAAACTTCATTATCCATCTTCGTTTTCACAAGCGAACATAAATGAGTACAAAATTTGAGCCGGTAGACATTCATTTTGTCACTGATATGGTTGGGAGGTTGCTTTAAAGTTTGAATGTTTTTAGTAAACTGTAAATGACGACATGAGAGACACATATATAGTCTGTGGACACTCAGTATACTAGTGTGTAATCTACATATAGGCAACAAGACCTAAACCATTTTTTTAATATTTTTTTTAAAACGATTAGAGCATGTTCAACGCGGGTATTTACGGAGTCCTTAGCTGTGTATCCACGTGTGAGAAATTATTAAAAAAAATGTAGGTCCAATTTTTTTTTGGTTTTGGAGCCAACAAAGACTCTTTAAATCCGTTTATAATAATCGATTGGCTCACAGGTATGTTACTGTGCGCGGAATCCACCGCCACGTGGGAATCCGCGATTAGCTCTTTTTTTTAAAGAAAAAACCGAAAAATAATAATAAAATAATATAAAAAAATACCTGATAATTGAACAGAGAGTATTATCGTTGGACATGCTCTTATATTCGTTTGCAAACATTCTAGGGCCTTCATAATACACATCTTTACAAACATGAAAGTCAAAATTGGTAGATTGGTTTATTTTCTAATGTTAATTGGTAGACTTAAGTAACGTCTACAACAAATAAATAACGTACTCAGGGCTGGCTTGGGAGTACATTATTTCTATATATATATATATATATGTTTTTAAATAAATTTAGGGACCAAAATTTATATACTTTTTCCCTAAAACTTTTAGGGATATATTGCCAATATTTCACTTAGCATAGTCTATGGTCGGGTCTTAAACATACTTCAAATTGCAATTTGGTAGACATATATTCTATCCGCTACATATATAAAGTAACGTCTACACCAAATAACGTACTCAGGGCTGGTTTGGGAGTTCGTTATTTTATGTATTTTTTCTTTAAAAATAAATAAATTTAGGGACCTAAATTTATATAGTTTCTTCCTAAATTTTTTAGGGATTTATTGTCAATGTTTCACTTATCATAGCCCATGATCGGTCTTAAACGTACTTCAAGTTGCAATTTGGTAGACATATATTTTGTCCGCTACATATATATAGACTTTTATACTTGTTTAAATGGTTATAGTAGTAGTAGAGTTGTTTCAACGTAGGTATTCGAGTCGCGAAAACCCTAGAGTTCTCTCTGACGGCGATGAATAGGGTGACAAGGAGATCTGGCTTCGCAGCGTCGCTTCCTGCATAGATCCGCGGTGTGGAAATGGAGGGATAGGGGAGATCATTGTCTTCCTTCATCCACTGTGGGCACTGCGTCCGGAATTGATCTTTGTCGATTCCTTTACCAGCACGGCATCTGATCTCTGTTTTGGTTTCTGATTCTCCGGCTAACTCCAGTAGAGGTTTCTCTTTGTCTCTTTTCCGAACACTGAAGCCAGCGTTACCTTTGGTGTTCATCAATACCACGGGTCTCTGATCCTTTCAGAGATTGTTCTATCAAGTTCTCATGAGGATATATCACAGCATTTTCGTTTGTAGCGACACAAGTTATCGACTAACAGATCGCTTACGATCCATATTCTACTATGGTTCGTTCACACTCTGTTCATACGACAGAGGTGAGAGGTAAACATATCAACTGTGACATCGACGATGATGATGCGCCTATACAACTCACAGAACAAGATACCTCTGTCACTATTCGGGACTATAAGCTTTCACTCATAGGCAAAATTCTAAACCGAAAGAAGCAAACTATGGAGAAATTGATCCAAACCATGCCGGGTCAGTGGAAGATGCAGGATAAGATCACTGCCAATGACTTAGGCAACGGAAAGTTTCTTTTGAACTTTTCTAATGAGCAGGATCTCAACTTTGTCTTAGCTCAAGGGTCATTCCATTATAATTTTTGTATGTTCGTGCTTGTCCGTTGGGAACCGGTGGTTCATGACGACTACCCTTGGGTTATCCCCTTCTGGGTGGAGATCACTGGCATTCCTCTTCACCTGTGGACGATTACAAACCTTCGAAACATTGGAAACAGACTTGGACATGTAGACACGGTTGATCTCTCCGCAGGCCGAATGCTCATCGACATCAACTCAAGGAGGCCACTTACTTTCACCAGGAAAATTGCGTCACCGGGAGGAGATGAAGTTTCGATACAGATCAATTATGAGAAATTGTTTAAGTACTGCAAAACCTGCAGAATGATGACTCATGAGATGGCATACTGCCCACTTGATGTGCCCATTCCAAAGAATCATGGAGTCTTTACAAGGATTCATGATCCTGCTGTCAAGGATATCCGGCAGCCTTCGCTGCGAGATCACTCCAACTTGGATGATAATGGAAGAAGATTAAAGGAGAGACTGGAACATGGACCAAACGACTATCACAAGACTTCTCCGCCCTCACAGACGCAACGAGGGCGTCAAGATGCGCGACCTGAGCATCGAGAGAGTGGCTTCATGAAGGAAGCACGGGCTGCTTATCGCCATAATCAAGATGGTCCTGCGAGAAAACAACATAACTCTTGGAAGATAACCTCGCGACCAACTCACAGGAGGTCTAGGTATGTTCCCTATGAGAAGACAGGCCCAATGCAGAGGTGGAAGGCGAGGAACACCTCTGATGCTGATCATGAATCTAAGTCACGGCCCGAGTCTTCAGCTCAAGTTTTGACCTCTGATCTCAATGTTGAGTCGTCGGCTGCTCAGGAAGAAGGGGATTCGAGAGTAGATAATCAATGGAGTAGTGGGAAGAGACTCTCAAGTCAAATTGTAAGTCCTGGTCAGTCTCATCACGACGACCACGTAACCAAACGTATCACTCCGCGGTTACTTACTTACTCTCCTACGGAGAAGTTGGTACCGATGGATGCTCAGATCATAGGAGCTTTACATGATTCTGAGGTAATGGAAACATGCGAGGAAGGCGGAGATGTGGCGGCTGAGGATGATGAGGGTGGTGATTTGTTAGGTGAAGAACTTTTGGAAATGGAAGCAAGCCATAAACAGTGCACGGAGGAAACTAGAGGACGGGAAGATATGGCAACACACGAGAAGCAGAAACAATCATCATCGCATAGAGGAGGAGGAAGAGCTCGGCTTCCTATGGGGGTACAAAGTAAGAAGGGTGAATTCCTTCGTCGAGGATCACCAAGGGGACGCAGAGCCTCTTCTAAGGATTTGTCAAACGCAGTAACACAACGGCCGGAAACTTCAAAGAGTTCAAACAGTACTCGTAGGAACAATGGTGTGGAGGGGTCCAAAATCTCCTCCCGCTCTTATCAATGAGGACACTCAGTTGGAACTGTCGAGGCATAGGGAGCGACCTCACAGTTCGACGCCTTAAGGAGATGTGTCAGATGCATCGCCCAGGACTTGTGTTCCTTTCTGAAACAAAGAACAGGAGGCTGCTGTTGCAAGACATTCAGGCCGACTTAGGATTTGATCGTTTATTTACCGTTGAGCCACTTGGTCTCAGCGGAGGTTTAGCTCTTTTTTACAATGATGATTTTCAAGTTAATGTTTTATTTTCGAATAACACAATGATTGACATTGAGGCAGTCATTGATGGAATAAAAGTCTTTATGACGTTCGTTTATGGGGATCCTGTTATAGAACGAAGAGAATTAGTATGGGAGCGCCTTACGCGCTTCTCAACAACAAGAAATGGCCCTTGGTTCATGATCGGTGACTTTAATGAAATAACGTGCCATGCAGAGAAGGAGGGAGGTGTACAACGCACAGATAGCTCCTTCTTGCCTTTTAAGCAGATGCTTAGTGACTGTGGTATGCTGGATTTTCCCTTTACGGGGAACATGCTTTCTTGGGTTGGGAGGAGGGCAAGTAATTCTACCGTTAGATGTCGCCTTGATAGGGCGGTTGGGAATGAGGACTGGCATGAGAAGTTTTCTCATACAAAAGTGCAATATATGAGATTGTGGGGATCGGATCATCGTCCAGTCCTAGCTGATATTCTCAAGAAAAAGCCGCGAAGATCAAAAAATTTCAAATTTGATAAGAGATGGCTTCAAAATGAAGAGCTTAGGCAAATTATACTTGAAGGATGGAAGTCGCCAGATCTCCCACCGGGTGCGAGTATTACAGAACATATTGCAAGCTGCAGGCGAGCTTTATGTGATTGGAAAAGGCAACACAATCTGAATTCAGAGAAAAGTGTGGAGGAGCTTAAGGAAAAGGTAGACCGTCTATCCTCAAATGATGATGCCA